TTAATAATGAGTTTGCAGTTAAAGATCTTGTTTCCCTTCATTATTTTTTGGGAATTAAAGTCCAACATCTATCCTTTAGTATTCTTACATTGTCACAACATAAATATATCAAAGATCTTTTAGCCCATGCTAGTATGCTCAATCTTAATGGTGTTGCAACACCAATGACTACCACTACTAAGCTCAACCATCGAGATTCAGTATCTTTCAGTAATGCTCAATTGTATCGATCTTTCGTTGGAGGTCTTCAATATGTCACTATTACTTAGCCAGAGATTTCTTTCAGTGTTAACAAAGTCTGTCAATATCTTCATAATCCTAAAGTCAATCATTGGCATGCTGCCAAATGTATTTTGCGTTATCTTAGAGGGACTATTACTCATGGGCTTGTATTTACTAAGTCCTCTACCCTTGATTTGTTAGCATTTTGTAATGCTGATTGGGGTAATGATATTGACGATTGTCACTCTACATCTAGTTTTTGTATTTTCTTTGGAAGCAACTTGATTTCTTAGACTACTAAAAAATAGCCACTTATTACTAGATTAAGTACAGAGGCTGAATATCGCGGTCTTGCACTCGTTACTACCAAACTTCTTTGGTTGTAGAGTTTACTTACAAAACTAAAGGTGCCATTTGCTTCACATGCTCCTCAAGTTCTTTGTGATAATCTGAGCACTGTGCTTCTCTTTAGGAATCCAATTATTCATCATCATACAAAGCATATGGAACTTGATCTATTCTTTGTTCATGAGAAAGTTCTTCAAAATAAATTGTTGGTTTATCACATTCCTGCTGTGCATTAGATTGCAAACATCTTTATTAAGCCACTTTCCAATTCTGCTTTTGCTACTTTAAAGTCCAAACTCAGAGTACAATATACTATGAGTTTGCAGGAGGCGATTAGAGTATAATTAATCATTATAAGTTAGTTGAGTTAATCAGTTAGTTAACTTTGTACATTTAACTAACCATTCTTGTTAACTAATGTAGTTGTTGCCATTATCTATATATAAGCACATGATATTCCTATTCATTAATCAGATTTGAGATTTCCTCTCTCTCTCAAAAAAAAAAAAAAAAGAATTCACAGCACACTAATTAATATCTATATCTATATATAGTTGAATCTAATTACTTTTAAAAATATTAATTTCCCATATCATAGAAGATTTTGAAATAGATAAAGAAAAACCATAGATTATTTCACAATCTAGAACGAAAATACGATAAAGTGAAAATGGTGAAATATACCAACAAATAAATGAAATATTTATTTATTTTTAACATAAGAAACTTATTGTCTGAAGAATTTTAATTTTTCATTTAAAAAAATCATAAAATAGGTATTATGAATAAAAAAATTAATATGAAAATCTTTAACAAAATTTAATTTCTTAAAGAAATACCTTGGAGTGTGCCTAGAAGTATCGACTCTAAAACCTAGTTTGACAAAGAAAATAGAGCTCTTAAGTAAAAATGCATGAGAGAACTTGCTCTATAAAATTACAATAAGCATACAATAAGTATGACAAGTTAAGGAGCCTTTAAAAAAAAAAAAAATGAAAAGCGTTTGCTATATTTCACCCGAAAACAAGCTATGTACAAGACAATACATATAATTAATTTCTCTTAGCACCAACTATCTCTAGATTTAGAGGGAGTTGTTGATCAGAGGTCCAAAACAACCTATTGCTACTAAGGCCTACTCTAACAAGATTACATAAATGATCCTCAGCATCATAACTTGTGAGTGAAAGGTAAATAAATCCTAATCTAGAAAGTAATAATCTAGTTTTATGGATGATCTCAAAAAACGATTGACCATTCAAATTGTCTCAGACAAGAAGATTGTCACAGTGAGCATTTCGAACAGCAGCCCCACCATTGTTCAGACCCATGTTGCAACAAATCTTGAGGCCAGCCCTGTCTGATAACATTAGTCTCAACAATAGCTAGGGCAGGGACAAATTCAAAGCATTGAAATTGCATATTCAAGCTCATACAACAGGGCCTTATCTTACTATGTGAAATTGATTATTTAAATTGTATGACGTCATTATACTTTATCATCAACTAAATCTTTAAAAATATTATTTATCAAGAAGTCTTGTTCAATAACTTTTCAAAATGTTCTTTTTTGTCTTCATTTATCTCTCTTTACAGAATTTAGAACCATATGTTCTATTCTCCTTACCAATACCTACCACGGCTTTTACTATACATATTCAAATTATCTTAAATAATTTTAAAAAAATCACCATAAAATTCCACAGAAGCATTTAAAAACCTAAAAGTCTAAAAATTATCAAAAATCTGTTAGGTCCCAAAGGACTTGGAGGTGAATAAGATTAAAGTAGTAATGTTCAAAATACCCATAGTTTGGAGGGGGTAAAAAAGGCACTCTGAAACATCATCTAAGTACACTCTGAGACGAAACAAAATCCACTCTAAAACCTCGCCTTTCTTGGAGTTCCTCACCGACTACTCACAATCTTGCAGTCTCATTGACTCCGTCTCCTCTTAATTTCTTGGCTGTGGTTACTGAAAAATTATGGATTACAATGCCTTTGGATCAGTTACCGGAAAATCAACGTCGTTGCACAACTTTCATGAATTTGGGTTTCAGGAATGTTTGTGTGTTTTGTATTAATAATCATGCAGTGGATTGTTTAGAGATTAAATCAAAAGAAAGCTATGCATTAGCGAAATCATGGCAATATTTTAATGGAGGTTGTGATGAATTTTTGTAGGACAAAGAGAATGACGGAGGAGAGAGGATCAACCAATCCTAATCAAGGGAGGAATCGTGTGACAAACATTCTTACCAAAGGAGCTCTCTCTCAACTTATTGATTTATTTATTTTTAATTCACGACCTATTAGTATTGTAGCAGAGATTTATAGGGGCTCTGTGGGTCTTGAGTCTAAGAGTGCATAGTTTTTCGTTTCCTTCTTGATTTGACATTCAAAAGAAAATTGTGTAATCCAGTCTTTGTTTTAGACCAATGCCAATTCTTGTAGTTTTTCTAGGAATGGGTTGGGAAAATACATGGAAGATACATATAAAGATGGGTAGAGTTAGGAATATGAGCGGATCCGGTCCTTAAGGGCCTAAGTCCTAAAGCCCGATTCTCTATTTTGAACTTCATTTCTCAAGCCCGACCCTTATGTGAAAGGCTCAGGGTCGGGCCCGTAAGCCCTTTTTCAAAAAAATAAAAATAATAAAAATAAAATTAAACATTATAAATTAATTAAAATATTCTGAAATTAAAAAAAATAAAATTCTCATAATTTTTTAAAAATTAAACAACACACATTTAAAAGTCTAGTAATAAAATTTAAATCTTGGTTAAAAAATAATTTATTTTTTATAAATACACAAACATAATAATTATAGAAAAATAAAAAATATCAGGAATTTTATACTATACACTGATATTTATTAAATTATATTAAATCAATTTTAGAATAAATTAAAATTAATAATAATATAATGTGTGTAGGATCAGGTGAGCAGGTCATTGCCTCATTGGCTTCAAACACATGTTCCACCAAAGAAAATAATAATAATAATAATAATATAACAGTGCTTGAAAGGCTACCCGAGCCCGAACTCTTTTTTACAGGGCTTATCAGAGCCAAGCCCTCAAGCCCGATTACTTTAAAAAAATTATTTTCAAAGCCCGAACCCTTATTTAAACAGGGCCTCCAAGTCCGACCCTCCAGACTTGACCCTTATTCCTGGCTCTAAAGATGAGATATATTTTTTATATGACAATGTCTATTCTAATGTAAATCTAGTTGTCAATATGCAATAAAACTTGTCATTACCAATTCGTATGTTATCAATTTCAATATCAATTAACTAGTTCATTTTGGAAAAAAAAATCCTTACAATGATAAACTTTTTCACTTGTCAATGAAATATGTTTCACTTGTTAATAGTCATTAGCTTGTAGTTAATGGCCATTGCACCTAACAAGTGAGTACTTGTCAATAGCCCTTCTCTTGTAGTCAACGACCATTGCACCTAGTAGTTAATAAATGAACACTTGTCTATGGGCAATATCTCACCTGTCAATAACATTTTTGCTATAGTCAATGGCCATTACCAATATGTCAATAAGATCTTGCTTATTTTTAAAGCAAATAATTGCACTTGATAAATGAGCATTTGTCGATGGTTAATGCTTCACTAATTAATAGCCTTTATCCTATAGTCAGATTGTCTTCTAAGTTACCCTTCACTAATAAATGAGCATTTGCCATCTAACTTATTCATTCTTAAATGAAATCATTGCATCTAATAAATAAGCAAATGTCAATGGCCAATACCTCACTTATCAATAACCTTTACTTTGTAATCAATAATTGCTATCAAGTTGTCAATAAAGTTATGTAATATTTATTTTTAAAGAAAATTATTGCACCTAATAAATGAACACTTATAAATAGCCAGTGCCTCACTTGTCAATAATCTTTTTTCTTGAAATCAATAGTCATCACCAAGTTGTCAATATAATATTTTGTATTTCTAGTTTAATATTAAATTTTGTAATCTAATAAATTATTACATATATTTTGTCAATAACTATTAGCCACTTGTCAGTCACTATTAACCATAAGTCAATATGTAAATACCATTCACAAATTCACAAATTCACAAATGTAACAACACATAAAAATGTTGGCTCAAAATGGACTAACTTGGAATTAGCATTCATGATATCATTTACAAAGTTAACTATACAAAATGTACTAACTATACAAAAGATCAATACATAATCATCAATCAAGTTCTATCTTAAAGTTAATGTTAGTCCTTTTTTAATTCCCTCTTCTTGCTTTCTTAGGATCCTATTAATGAGGACACAGCTTCACGCTCCTTCACATTGTTACAATGATTAAGTAGCCTCCATAAGCATTCACCCTTCTTCCTACACCACAAATCATTCTTAAAGTACATTAACCAGCCATAAAACAAAAGAACAAAGCCTGGAGCATGAATAATTAAATATAAAACCTTTAAGATACATGATTTACGTTATGCATAGTGAATGAAGTGTCAACCATGAAAACTAGAGGAGTCAAAATGAGAAATAAAATTAAACATGATATTTGGAGGACAATGCTATAATATCATGACCTACAGTTTTCATGACATTTGGCCTCGAGAGATATTCATTTAATCACCTGTTGTGCAACACCTGGCTTAGAAGATAATTGTAAGAAAATTAAAAATAATATAAGGAGTACAAGAATAGCGTTGCTTCCACTTTGCCCACACTCATTATTCTCCCTTGTCAATCGTTGTGGTGAGGTTCCTTTCATTTTGCCATCACCTCCTTAGTGCGCTTTCACTGTGCTCCTCCCTCCCCCAATGGGCAACTCTCTATTTTCTTAATCATTTATACTATCGTTCATCATCTGCTAAATAATTTTTTTACAAATATTACATCATCTCCCTTGAAGAGTCCCTTTTTGCACGCATTATTGGGTAGTGCTGGTGGAGTTTTAGAATATTAACCTTGCTTCTTTCCTGCTTGTGTATTTCATAAAGCAACATTCTCAATTTCCATGCCTCCTCATTTTGTGTATCACAAACAATAGTTACTGTAGAATTCGCCTCGTATATTTTCAATACATTGCACCCTCCCTCAACTAGAGTCTTTCTCTATTCTGTGTCGAGAATACTTGTAGTTGATCCACCTGCAAGACACTACAACTGAGTTATCAGATATGAAAATGAAAAGTATAAGATACTCTATTTTGGTTTTCCACTATTCTCATGTAGGTTGTTAAAAGATTTATTGTCATTCCGATTCATATTCAATGTAAGATAAAACAATTGGAAATAAATCAGGAGGTGGTCTTAATCATTAATTCTCTTTGGTATTTCAAGAATAAAAAACTCATTATCTACCACCATCTAGTCCACAACATAGTTTGCCTTACATATCATGGCTTCACATGTAGTAGAACATAATACTTCATTGACATGACTGTAAATGAAGACAACTGAAACAAGAAATGTTTGTTCAATATGAGAAATGATACAGGATGGGTTATTGAGGTTCTGGATTTCCAAACATGTAAGAGGTGCAGGAAATTGTCATCTCACGCCACAGTTGATTTTATTGGTAAAATCCTATTGATAAATGCGTTTGGTTAAATTTATAGGAGAAAGATGGTATAGATTGTTGTTGGAATTGAGATCAACACAGCTCTGGGTTCATCAGCAAGGAACAACTAGCATACCATATCTTCTTTATATTCAAATAATTCTACCAAGAAAGAGTCTGGTTAATTCCAACCTTAAAACCCTAGTTGATGGCAAAGTAAAGGGCTCTAAAAGCTTAGCGTGCTTTCTATATAGTTTGTCAAGAGACTCAATGGGAACCAATTTTTAAAATGACATATCTGAATCTACGAATTGGAATTTCTTGTTGCAGTGTGTGCGATCCACCAATCACTCAGTAAAGTGTGTGCTTTCCCATCGTACAACCCTTTCTCCCTCAACTGTGGCAAATCCAACGCTCAAACCCCACAAGCCATTCGAACTTGCCATCACCGTCACTGTCTGAATCCATCGTTGATCTGTGCGACTTATGAACCAAGACACACAAGACAAAGGAGATGAGACCGAGAGACAAGCAGTGGGTTTCGTGCATTGTGGATTTCATGGGTTATAATAGATACCTTGGTAATTCTATCTTCAAACTTATTCACCCTAAGTCGCTGGGACCTAACAGATATTTAGTGATTTTACAGGACCTTTGGGTATTTACAATGCTTCTGTGGGACTTCATGGTAATTTTACCAACATTTGTTTTACCATCTTCTCCACAAAAGATAGCATATCCACTTTTTCTTATATATGTTCATTGCAGATTTTTATCTACTCGTGTATGCCCACGTATCCAAGTCTATAACCTTACCAATTGTATCAATGTCAAAGTTTGATCAGGATATGGAAATCTTTTTCATTAGAAGATCTCAAAATTAACTTAAAATTAACCGTTTTTATTATTTTTTTTTTTTGGTTAAAGTACGAAGCACTTCATGTCCAATTTTGACCAAATGAGATGAAATGTCCGCCAACTTCGAACAATATTAAACTTAAAAAATCACACATGCAGCTAAAGCAGTTCATGTTCTAAAATTTTGAAGAGGCATTTTTAGGTAAATGTAGCACTGAGTCTAAGGAACTCCATGCACATCTGAAAATGTTTCAACATTTTGGGAATATGTATTCACATTCGGGTATTTAGCATGCTATATTTTAAGCTGTTTTGATGATGAAGGACATCAGTGTAATCATAAATCCTCGAAGTAGGTATGACAGATATAAATTATGTCTTCAAAAGTATTAATTAAACATAAATGAAATAAGTTAAACTTCTAACTATAACTGCAAAAGGTTCAAATGCAACTTCAATTTTTTCCCCATAAGACCATGTAACAGTCATTTGATTTGCTAATAAAATGAGAAAGGAAATTTAGTATTCATTCTTCTTTCAATTTACAAACAGCTACAGGCTTTTATAACCTTGTGGAGCATATACAATGAAGACACACATACCCTATGAATCTTATGGCAGTAACAAAAAGATGAAAAAATAATAATGAAAAACAATAGAGAAAAAATAATAATGAAAAACAATAGAGAAACTTCCAGACTGAAGTCTAGAAACTTTCAATTTCTCATTGACTGACTTGGATGAATTTGACTTTCCAATTGCTTAATAGTGCGTTTGGACTAATAGAGATTTGCATTTGGATTTGCTCCAAATCCCCCATTTGGATTTAGTCCAAATCCCTCATTTGCATTCACACAAAATTAAGAATTTGAATATTTCTTATTACAATTCTTTTTATAATTTCAAATTCCTTTTACACTCTATTTATTTTAAATTCTATTCACTTCAAACATCTTATTCTTTTCACTAGTAGCACTTTTATGACTTTCATATCTTTTTTCATCTTTCATTCTCATCTCGTGTCGAGATCATTCATAATTTTTCATTTTCATTTCAAATCTCAACTCATCTATCTTCTTCATTTGAAATTTTTGAAACTATCCAAACAAAGAAATTTAAATATATGAATTTTAAATGTGAGATCTAAAATTCAAATCTAAATCTATCAATCCAAATGCTATTTAAGTGTATTGAGAACCTGACATGGTAGAACTAAAAGCATTAGATTATTTAACAATTACATATAGAATTTTTAGATAGTCTGCGATGAATTTCTTCTTTGCAAATGGTTCATATATCCATGACTTTCTGGTATATTTGGTTCTATTAGTCTTTCAAAGAAAAGAACAACAAGAATATGAGGGAATTGTGGCCTAAAAACATCATCCCTACGTCTTCAAAGACATCTAAGAATGCTATAAGCTAATATAACCATGATATCTAGGAATCCTGGTAACCAGCTGGCCAATAAAGAAGAAGGAAAATAATCTTCTGAGCTTGTGTTGACATTCAACAACCTACCAAACAGACCTTGAGTACATTTCACTACCACTCAAGAAGTGTTTGTTCATATCAGAAGCTCCTAAAATAAAAAATTAATGTTGCAATTGAAGGACATTCAAATTGCTCCACTTACATGACTAAAACATCATCAGAACTCGATATATCATAATTTTAGACAAATGGCAACTAAGTGCTCTAGCTTTTAAGCAGAGTGGTTATATTGTAAGCTTGATTAGATGTTAACAGTGCTTGAAATGGCAATGCCAATTACCAATAGCAAGATCCAACTATACTTTGTAAAGGAAAATAAAAAACAACAATAACAACAAGCCTTTATCCCACTAGGTCGGCTACATGGATTGCAAGATGCCATTGTGCTCTATCATTTATCAAGCTTTTAGAAATATTATTAATTAAGAGATCACGTTCAACAACTTTCAAGAGTATTCTCTTAGACCTTTCTCTACCCCTCTTAATCGGACTCAGAATTATATGTTCCACTCTTCTCACCGGTGCCTCCCTTGGTCTTCTTTGTACATGCCCAAACCATCTCAACCGATTTTCTACCATATTTTCCTCAATAGGTGCTACCCTCACTTTTTCGCATACGTGCTCATTTCGAATTTTATCTTTATGTGTATGTCCGCACATCCATTGTAACATTCTCATCTCTGCTACTCCAACTTTATGCTCTTGCTGTCCCATTAGAGCCCAGCATTTACTACTATATAACATTGCCGGTCTGATAGCAGTGCGATAAAACTTTCCTTTAAGTTTATTAGGCACCTTACGATCGCAAATAACTCCTTTAGCTTTTCTCCAATTAAACCACCCAACTTGAATCCTATGTGAAATATCTCTACTGATTTCGCCATCATTTTGAATAATGGCTCCCAAATATCTAAACTTTTCCACTTGAGGTATAATTTGATCTCCCAATTTCACTTCCAAATTATTGTTGAATAGTCTCTTACCAAATTTACAATATAAATATTCCGTCTTACTCCTACTCAGATGGAAACCTTTCGACTCCAATGTCCTCCTCCATAACTCAAGTTTGTAATTAACCTCTTCTCTTGTCTCTGCTAAAAAAGAATAAAAAAGAATTACAAAGACCAGAGATTCAGGTACCACATACATCAGACATTGGGGGAAAAGGACTACACTGTACAAACCTTAAAACATGGTATGAGTAATGCAGCATAAAATAAGTGCTGGCGTTGAGATGTACGGATTTAATCATAGGTAATTGAATTCAAATTCAAATTGAAATAATTTGGCCAGTGGAGGACAAACGAACCTAAGAAAATCATATTGACCACCTTTATATATCACTTCAGCTGACAAAATGCAATAAACATGCATAAAGGAAAGGAAACCAAAAACAAAACATAACAGAATCACTCCCAAATCCAGATAATCGCAAACCAATAGCTACTTTTCCATTTGACACGCATGATCTCTCTCATCACATGACATATACAAAATAATAGGTATTTATCTTGCAATGCAAAAGTATGATCAATATCCCATACTCAACATCCACTGGAAGGCTCTGGATGCATTGAAGGCACACCACTGACTATCAAGTGGTTTCTGTTCATACACTGAGTGATACAAAACATTTAATGATGGCCTCATTCGAGGATTTCTTATCCTCAACAGTGTACTCTGCTGTCTCTAACAATTTCTATTTTTAACATGAGAGAAAAAAACTGTAAATGATAGCAAAAAAAAGAAAAGAAAAGTTGGCTTGTTTAGTGAAATAATAAATGGCATGAGGAACTACCCCCTGATTATTGGCTTTCATTTTTTATCCTTCTCCACTTTAATCCTTGTTGCTCGCTCCCTCTTTTCCAATCCCTTTCTCTAAATTCAAATGAAAAATTCTCCACTTCATCACTTACTTTTATCATTACAGCACCCAGCTGATACTACTTTAAACATTTGAAGAATCCAACAGCAATTTACTTGTTACCAATATTTTCCAATATTGTAAGAACCAAGACAAAACCTTGTGGTTACTTTTTTATGATTAGCAAAAATCATACAAGACTTGAAGCACAAGCATTCAGTCCCAATGCCCACATCATAACAAATGTTTAAAGCAATTAACACTTTACACATGCAGGGGGCAGATTATTCAATAAATTTATTATTTGGCTTGGAAGCTCCAGATCAGTAAAAATGAAGGGGTTAAGTCTCTTTCCATCAATGAACTCACTCATTTCCTCATGCAAAATGGAAAACATGGTTAAAAGAATGTCAAGCACATACTTCTTGTATAATATACAAGACTCACTGTATAGGATATACAAGACTCACTGTATAGGATATATGAGATGAGTGCAAGCAAATAAAAATTGTCAAGTTGCATCAGCAGTCTAAATAACATCTAATAATCCAAAATAAGTATATGTCTAACATGTAAAGCTCTTGATCAATCAGCAATAAATTGCGAACAGAGTTAAGATATACAGCTTACTTGTTCTAGTCTTTCCATTGAACAATCAGGCGTTCCAACAACAGCAAAATCTTCTTCATACCTTCACCATTTACACAACCAAAAGCATCATTCAGTTCCTTTGCTTCGTTTATCCGAGCCTGCTTCAGCAATCCGCGATATACGCACTCCTTCAAATCGCAATTAGGCACCATGTTGGCACCCACCATAGCCCTTAAAACCTTCAGACCCTCAAGAACGAGGCCATTTTTACAAATCCCATGAATGAAGATCCCGTAAATTTTCTCATCTGGCGAGCACGGGGAGTCAGGCCTCTCCATCCAATTAAACACTTTGAGGGCTTCTTTGTACTTGTACTTGTTAAAATACGAAGTGACGAGCATAATGATGATGGGTCTAATATATGGGTATGAAGTTGGAGTAAACTTAAGGCGCGTGAGAAGGGACATGGCGTGGGTCATATCAGGTTGGGAAGCAAGAGAATCGATGAAGACGGAGAGGGAAAGGGATTTGAGAGGCGGATTTGCTAAGAGGGCGGTGGTGGTGAGGTTAACAGCTGTGGCGAGTTGGCTTGAGTCGCAGAGGCGAGGAATGAGGAGGTTGATCTGTGTGAGTTCTTCATCTGCGAGAATGAGCTTTGTGGAATCGGACTGAAGAGGTGGTTCCTCTGAGGAAGAAAGAGAAGAATAGGAGGGTGTTGATGCGAGAGGTTTATGGAAGAGGGACCCGAAAATGATGACGGCTTTCGACGGAACACGGCGGAAATGAAGCCGCCGGAGTGAACTCATTTGGAATCACATGCCAAGGATCATCAGAGTTCCCAAGTAACAGAAAATGGGAAACGGACCCTCAGGGTTTCCGCCCTTCTCAGCGTCCCCGTGCGGTGAGAAATCCAAGTCGTTCAATTCATATCCCATGTGGCATGCCTTATCACATCATTTCATGTAAAATAATTTAATTTTAAAAAATAATTCTTTTCTACTTTTTTTTAATAAATTCTTTCATACTTTATTTTATCGCTTTAAATATATTTTTATGATAATAACATATATTAGTTTTTTTTTTTCAAAACTTATTTTAAAAAATTACTCTATAGATCTTTTTTAAAACGAATTTTTGTTAAACTACTCTAACATAAATATAAGTATTATAAGTTGACTTATTTAAATTCTAGCCCGATTGATTTAACAAAAATTGGATTTTTTTAAAATAAGTTTTAAAAATATAAAATAAAAAAATTAGTTTAAATTATTATCATAAAAAATATATCTAAAATGGTAAAATAAATTGTAAAAGAATTATTTTTAAAAATTAAATTATTTTAATATTGAATGATATGGCAAGGCATGTCACATTAGATATGAATTGAAGGCCTTCAATTTCTTGCCACTCTGGGCCAGTGAGAAGGGTGGAATCTTGAAAAATTTGGACCCATGAAATTGTCAGTGAGTCGAGTCCTATCACTATTATAATGAGTGAAAAGATTAAAAAAAATAAAAAGAGGAAAGTTTCTTTTTATTATATACCAATTTTTTTTTAAACATAAGAGACAAGCTCTAAGATTTCATTTTATTTTTAAATTAGAAGGGCAAACATTAAGGATTGAATTCATGAATCGTGACCTCTTACTCACCAGAAAAGCCTACATGCCATTAAGCTATAAGGATAGACATTTTTTAATTAGATTGGCAATAAAAATTATCTCCCGAAGTGTTAAGGTCAAAGATACACATTTTTCAAATTTCAATTAAATTAGTACACATACAATTTAATATTCAAAAACTCAATCAATTGTTTAACCCCTTGTCTGGTTTATATTCGAATGCTCAATCATATACTACCTCCCCCTTGTTTGGTTCAAAAAAAGAAAAGGGGAGGGGAGGCTATAAATATATTTTATTATGATTAAAATAATTTAATAAATTTTTGTTATTTCAACTTGCTCATAAAACAAGCTATATAATAAGACACCAAAAATTCCCACTAAATTATCATCATACAACCTCTAAAAAAAAAAAAAAAAACCTCTATAAGCATCATCTCTTCTATTGCTACCAAGATTGACTATAATGCTTATCATTGCTATTATAACCTCAGTTATTATTATTACTATTATCCTATATTCTAGTCAGGTTCTACTGTAACCTTCTTTATATTTTGTTGTTACTTTTTTTTCTCTAAAATTTTATGAATCTAATTTCTTAGGGCTTTTTAGGTAAGTTTTATAATTACTTTGTATGGATATTACTCATATAATGTGACTGATTTATCCATAAGAATCTCTATACAAATAAATCCACCATCCACTATCCTCTTATCGATTTACATAAACGGCAGTAAATTGAATATATATATATATATATATATATATTCAATTTACTTAATATATATTGTTAAACTAAGACAAATGCCATTCATCCTTCCTACCTTGCTAGTTAGAGGCTTTATTATGTAGGTTAGGCGTAGGTGCTAATTTTTAGTGAGAAACTCTATATTTGAGTATCAGATTCTATTTAGTAGTACTTGAAATCATTTCATCTTTTTTTAGAATGATACATTATCGGAATAATTATAAAAAATTAATTATTACAAGATTTATTAATAATTGAATTAAAACTATTAATAAGTTATCAACAGAGCTTGTGATAATTAATTTTTTTATTTGAAATTTCAACATAATTTTTTTATATTATATTTATGTAATTGTATAAGTACAAATGTTAAGTTACTTTTAAAAATAAAAACTAATTGCAATTAATTTATTTCTTAAAAAATGAAAATAAAATCCAAATACAATAGTAAGGGTGTTATAGTCTAGGAATTATAATTTTCCTTTCCTCCACTCATAAACCAAACAAGATGATATTAAAAATAAGAAAAAATTAATCTTTTAATCTTTCAACTTTTAAGTCACTTGTAACTCAGTCCCTCAACTATGACACACTGTGACTCAGTCCTTTAACTATAACTCTCCTATGACTCAATCCCTCAACTTTTAAATCACTTACAAATTAGTCTCTTAACTTTTGTTGATTTTTTTTTCATGTTAGCTTATATCTCACATTAATGAATAAAAAGAGGATATTTTAAAATAATATATGAGTATTTTTTTATCCTTCTTATTTGATTAAAAAAATTTAAAAAAATTAAAAATAAGGAACGAGTTATAGGTAAATTAAAAATTGAAGAACTGAGTTGCAGTATAGTTGAGGGATTAAATCGCAGTAAGTCATAATTAAAGAATTGAGTTACAAGTAAGTTAAAAGTTAAAGGACTAAAAGATTAATTTTTCCTAAAAATAAATTACATATAGGTCCCATGCAGCAAATTTATTTACAAAATAAGTTTTACAAAATTTAAAAATCACACCTAGATTCTTTGGGGCCTAAGTATGATTTAAAATTTGGATAAAAGAAAACTGTAATGCCCTTATTAAATATATATACATTATATTAGTTAAATAATTTATAACTAATTCATAAGTAATTTACAACTATAATTTTAATTTTTTATAATTATAACTTCAGATATTCAATAATTAAACTAATTAATTTAATTACTTAATTTATAAAATTATAATTGTAAAAAGTTAAAATTATAATTATAAATTACTAATGAAATAATTATAAATAATTAATGTTAAACTCTGTTCATAATACATGATTGTTTTACTATTTGATATGTAAAGTTACAATTTGTAAATTAATTATTTGATTAATGTAATATATGTTTAATATGGATATTATTATCTTTGCAACTTAATTTCAAATTACACTTAAATATTAAAGAATCTGACTGTAATTTTTAAATTTTAAGAAATTTATTTGTAAATAAATATACTTCATGAGACCTATACATAATTTTTTTTAATATTAAAATCTTTTCCCTCTTCTTTCCTCCCCTCTATTATTGAAATCAAAGAGTGGGTAAGTGAGGAGAGCACCTTTCATTCCGTCAATTTAAGTTGGTATTATTATAAACATTTTGTTTTTAAAGTTTATTTCTTATGTACATTTTTCTATCAAAACAGTACGTTTTGTTATGCAAAGATAAAATTACTTTAAAACACATGAATACACATCATAAACAAAAGTACATAAAAAATTTCAATACAGGAAACTATACTGATCTAAAAAATTTCATGGCATAAAGTGAAAAAACGGTAGTAATTTTTTATTACAATTGTCATGAAGTATGTAGGGTATTATATATTAGATTCATTTTAAAGACCCGGTCAAGTGCATTCTAAAGTACTAATAATGTTTCATTTTTTATAAAAATTGGGAAAGGCTTGGACATACCACTAAACCACTCTTTTTGGTCGCTAATCTTGTCATGCATATCCCTTTTCAATTGAGATCGCAAAACAAATCCCAAATCTTGTTCGGATACTAAAAAGTAATGAATTTAGAAAATGAGGGTAAAAGTATTTAAAAATTTATCAGTTAAGAACCTCCAATAACTTAAAGTAAAAAAAAATATGAGTATATATAAAATTATTTTTTTAACACATCTATGACTAAATCGTTAAAAGTCAATAACATTGATCATGAAGTTTTGAATATGAAATTTAACTGTTTGATCACAAATATATCTAAGTCCTAAACCTTTTAAAAAATAAGTGATCAAGAACTTCCAATTTGAAACTTGCTTTTGAAGTCAAATAACCACCAAAGTATATTTTCCCTGGAAATTTCTAAACAAACGTTTGCCATCATGTGATGTTCAAGCACATCATCATCTCCCAAGCAACAACTATTGTGCTCCTGTTTGTGACTCCCTTGAAACTTTAAACCATAAATTTGATGGCAGGTGACATATCAAGAGCAATTTGGTTTGGCTTCTTCTCACTTGATCAAAACACTACACTAGCGGCTCTGGTGATGTCTACCCCTGGCTTATAGAATTCATCATCACCCTCCACACCCTTTTGAAAGCCAGAAATGAGAGTATACATCAACGTCTGCAATATTCACTCCTTCCAAAATATTCAACTGAGCTGCTCAAGTCTAAAAAATTATAAACAACTCTTGCTTACTTGTCCCTGGATGTCCATTTCATTAAAAATATGACAAGAAAAAATGACAATTAAAGACCTTATAAGAACATCAATTGTAATTACAAGCCCTGAATTATTGAAATCTTAATAATAAACTATAGTCCTTACTTTTAATTAAAAAAATGTGAATAGTCAGTTTGAAAATTAACAAAATATACTTAGAAGTATTTGTAATATTAGTTGAGAAGTTATGAGAATCAATTGTAAATTGCGATTTTTAGCTGTCAATAACTAGATAAACTATTTGGAAAATCAATAAAATGTACTTGAAATTATTTGTAACATTAGTTGAGAATTTATGAGAATTAATTGTAAATCACAAGCCAATTATTACTTGTGATTTTTTTACTCTCAATAGACAGATAAATTGATTGGAAAATTTACAGAACGCACCTGAGATTTTTATAATGTCATTTGAAAATTTATGAGAGTCAATTGTGAATCACAAGCCAATTAGTTTTAATTTTTTGCTGTCAATATATAAATAAATTACTTAAAAAATAAAAAAAATTAGAAATATTTGTGATGTTAGTTAGAAATTTACAAAAATTAATTATGAGTCTCAAATCAATCAACAAAAGATACTTTCTTACAAACAAGTGTTATGATTTTCAATAATTTAAATTTTGCAATTATAATTAATATTTTTATGCAGTCTCTAATTGTTATTTTTCCAAATGACGATCTCGAAAGCTCATTTTCATTAAGGCATCAAAAGGTTCAAGCATCTCACAAGACTTCAAATTGACCATCAATGCCTCAATATCTTGAGATAGGCATTGGTAGATTATTGTGTTTTGCTTGCTTTTAAGTTGTCGAGGCCTCAGTTATATAAGGTTTTAAAAAAAAAAACAAACCAGAGAGAGCCTCATTTATATCAGATCTTAGTCTGTATATGCTGTTTCCTTCCACCCAAATATAATGCTTTTCGAAGTATTACATAGTTGGAAATAAAGCAATTAAAAAATGATATAATAGAAATAATAATTTTGAATGTATAATAGATGTTCATAAAATCACTTTCTCAAAAGGATACAAAAAGAGGCCCAAGAGTGCGATGGAACATTATCATCATAGTTGTTGCTCATGATGTTGTGTACATGTAAACATATGTATATAATTTGTAGGCGTAATGCATTCTATAACTCAGACATACATTTACATCTCAACATTTCTATTTACATTCTATGAAAAGGTCCTATGAACCAACAAGTGTTGGTTCTAATGGGAAGAACCATAGCCAGTTAAACACAGTTTTAGGTTTGAGTATATATGGATGCAGAAAATGTCTTTAAGAGAGCTACTTCCAATTAGGCTCAATAATGCTTGAATTTGACTCAGTCAAATAAAAAAATCCTATAAAGGAAAAAAAATCTGCATTCTATAGTTCCCGTGATTATAAAGCAGTATTTTTTTTTTTTTTTAAGGAAGCACCATCTTCAATAGTTCTAAATGTTTCTGGCAATATAATGCTCCGTACAATTCAAGTTTCACTTGGATTCTTCAGTAAAAATGGATTCGTGTGGCTGTTTTTTCTACAGGATTGGCGGGCATCATAAGTAGAGATTGTTTTCCATGAAGCAATCTAGAAGAGATGAACATCTTATACTGAGGATTGTCGCAGAGGTTGAGCTTCGTTTTGAACTTCGTTACTCTGCTGGTCTAGTGGCATGTATTGTGACATAATTGCCATGATCTCCGAGTCCATGTAAGACTACAAAGAAATAAGTTCAAGAACATCAGTTAAAAGCACATTAACTTCAGTTTTTTAATTATGTAAATGGGCAATTTCAGTTAGCATACCCTGAGCCTGTATTTGTAGAATATATAACCAGCTATGCCAGCACCTAAAACAACTGCCAGGAGCAAGAACACAAGGAACCGTCCAAATCTTGATCCACTTCTTTCTGCATAAAAGCAAGTAAAATGCTAATCATGCATCTGGATCTGGCTTACAAAGCTTACTTTCTCCATCCTATAGTAGTTATTTGGAATTTAAAAGTTTCACTAATCAGTCTTGAGTTCAATTGAAGTTTTAACTTTTCTATCTGGACATAAAATTGCAATCGCAATGAAAATAAATGATATTTTGAGACTTTAGAGTAGATGCAAATTGGTTTTAGCATGTATAGGAAGACATAATGATCATAAATGCAAAGTTCAATTTCACTTTTACTCTAATTTGATCAATAAAGAAATTCAGTCCTCACAAAATCGTTTCCTTCTACTTCAGAACAAAAACTATTAAACATCTGTCTATCAATTTACCCTTGTTTAAGAATTGTCAATTATCTCTTTAATAAATATTTGAACTCTGTTAATCTAATAAATAGAGGGACCGCATTGCCCTAATCAAAACTAGAGCAACTAAATTGCAAGAAAACCGATTGCTTTGATGAATAAACTAAACATAAATGTAATTTAGTTTATTGAAAAATTAAGTGATTTGCCGCATCCTTTTTAAAGCTTTCGTGCATTCACACAAGAGGTAGCAATCAAAGTCTCTGTTGCAATGGCTTTTCTGTAGAGTACTTATTGAATTATTTTGTTTGTAGATTTATACAACGGACCACGTGGCCATTATAATGGATTCTCCAATTAAAAACAGGGATCTATGTTATATAATTCATTATCAACCAGACAATCACTACCCATGAAATATGCAGAAAAATGATGCGAAGAAAAAGCAGAAAGTACATTTTAGGGAGAACGACAAAAAGGTCCCAAAAGAATTAATTAATTCAAGTTAGATCTCAAGTGTTAAATTTCAGAAATTTACAATTCAATCTTTCAAGTTTACAACTCCATTGTGATAAATTTGCAACTTTTATTTCAAATTTAAACAGGAAAAATAATTTTTTTTATTTTTCAATCATGTTAAAATTTAAAAAACAAATTGCAAACTCATTACAACGCAATTGTAAAATTAAAAGATTAAGTTGCAAATTTTTAGAATTTAACACTTGAGACCTAACTTGAATTAATTAATCCTTTTGGGATCTCTTTGTCATTCTCCCTACATTTTATCCCTTGTAGTGCCTAATTACAATTTTAATACATCAATTTAATTTGGAGTAAAGCACTTTCTTTCAATCTATGAAGGTGTTTTATGTTCTTTAAAAGAATAATGAGATGTTTATTGTTTTACATTTTTTAAAAACTGATATACTAGAGTTTTAATCAAACCTTTGTTCAGATGGTATAATATATTTTTCCAGAAGAAGAACCTAAATTACCATTGGATTATCAAAGGCTCCTAAAGATTTAGATTGAAATTAAGGTTATTTTGTCACTTGATTGTATGCGATTCAGCTGATTTCTCAAACCAGAATTTATTAATAGATTTCCAGTATCTTACCAATACAAACATCTCGTTCTTTTATGTACACAAGATCTCGCTTGCACTTGCAATCATAACCGCCCCACGTGTTTTTGCAGCTGCAACCATCACATTGACATGCACTTCGTTCTTTGCATTCATCAATATCTGCATCAAAAATTTCAGAATGTTATAGTCAATAATGTATCATATAAAGAAGACATGAGACTTTCTTGATTTGCCACAAGGGAACACAAGATTACCTTCACATTTTTTGCCATCCCCATGAAAGCCAATCGGGCAATGACAACCTTCTATTTTGTATTCCTGTATATAGAAAGGGAATTCAGATAGCCATGTCTAGTCAATAGAAAGTTTTTACCAAAAATTAATGTGCCAATACCCACGGTCTGAAATACCCACTTTATGTAATTTACATTGAAGACACCTAAGAATTTCTCAAGGAAAAACATAAACTGAAGACTAAAAAATATAGTACTGAACTGAGCAAGCTGAGTGAGTTATTTCATTTCTAGTCTGTGACCAGCAGCCTCCATTATTTATTGAACACCTTAAAGGTCCATAAGCTGTCAATAAAGGCAAAGAGTAGCCATTTAAGCAGCAACATCATGAAAAGAGAAGTTAAAGTAGTAAATGAATAAATAAATGTTCCACTTCATCCCACTGTGGAATATGTGATTGATGACATATTTGGATACTTTATTCAATCTTACATTATACATGCACAAAAAGTTGAGAGGCACAAGGAAATTCATATTCATAAGTTTTCTGAAAAATAGAGATCCAATTCATATTTAAGAATGACAGTAAAGAGACTCCATATTGCTGTTGATTCACATTGAATCAAAATTCTTAGTCAACACGCATTTGTAAATGAATTTCTAGTACAGCATGAACTAAATTTTTTTAAAATATCCACATGAAAAGTCATAGAGGAAGCATGTTAAGTAGACATGTGATTAAATCATTCAAGGTAGGTTACCTTTATTTATCTCATCTTTGAGCATTGTAAATCACTAATGTAATAAAATTACATGAGTTGGAAAATCGCACTTCTCATATGACAAAAGGCGTACCTTCACAAGATGTATAACCATCACCCCTAAAATGAACACCTTTTACAACGGGGCATTCACAAACTCTTCCCCTGAAGGTATCCTAACAACATTCAGGTTTCACCATCAATTTGCAGTCAATTATAAGCGGACATTTAAATATCATTATATCTAGAAAATCATGCTTGAACGATATAGATACTGATCAAGGAAGGAAAATGTGTACTTGATAACATTTATCCATACCTTGCAAGCAGTTACATTTGCATATTTGTCCTCCCAACATCCTCCATTCCTTTCAAGACACTCATTAGTCTCAAGATCTGATAAATACAAAGGCAAAATGAAAAAAAAAATAATAATAATAATACTATCAGGATATCATATTGGGATCCTCTAAATTTTAGAGACATGTACGTGATAAATTTTCAACAGAAAAGCGAACTCAAACATGCAGAACCTATCACTTAATCAGTGGATCCAACTTATTTCTTTGATGTGGTGGGTTCCAAATCAAGTATTCCTCTCCAAAATTTATGGTGTAAATTTCCCTCTAACTTTAGGGAGTCCAAAATCAAGAATGTGACAATAGATGTTCAGATTGGCAGAACCCTGAACCTTTACAGTTTAGAAAAAGAAACAGTAAGCATACGAACCTCCAGTTAAACAGACTGCAGGCTCAGTAGTCTCTTTAAATCCTGCACATACAGCCTTCAGGACAGCTACTCTCTCCAATTTTCCTTTAAACACATCAAGCTGAAACTTCAGAAATCTGATACATGTTAAATTGTTCTGAAAAGGATAGTTAGAAGAAGTAAAAGAAATACTCACTGCATTAGAAAATGTTATAGATGAAAATTCAACTGAATGAAACAAAAAACACGAAAGAAAAACAATCGGACATTGACCCCAAAAAAAAAAAAAAACGGAAGATGGTTTTACAAATGGAACATTCAAATTTGGTCAAACCACATTTTGCCTGCTAAACTAAGGCTTATGTGAAAAGCACCTCTTAAACTTTGGATTTTAGAATAGAATAAACATGCTTAATCCAAGTTAAACTAATTGCAAGAAGATACTTCCTGACTTCAACAATCTCGGTGGATCAATTTATTGGGATGAAAATGCAAACATAAGATGCCTTGAGAGGTTCATATGGTCTCTTGCAGTTAATCATAACTTGGATCAAACATTTTTATTTTAGCCTAGAGTTAATTTCTTTTCTTTTTTTGGAATAAAGCGTTACTTCGTCCCATTTCAAAGTTCACGCATCAATATTGGGGGTGGGATTCAGTTCAGGGTTAAAACATAGCTTCCTTATTAGTTACTAAATCAAGAATGGGTGAAAAAAGACACAAACAAAACTTAAGGCAACGCCTAATAATCGAAACATAAACTTCATTGAGCCTGTAAACAAATTCATTAATGACATATAAGATTGAAATATTTTCAGACATATCACCAGAATGTGTTCCACGGTGAAATTTATCTAAAATGGAGACAAGAGTAGCACGATGTAAAGAGGAAGAGTGTGCCTTTTCCACTGCCTTGGTAGTGAAACACAAGAAAGCAACACGGGCAAATAAATCGTGGATGAAGAATTCCATATCTTTTTCCCCTTCTGATAAACCCTCAACTCATCAATATAATATCAGTTTCTAAATTTTGATTGTAGAGAACCAAATTTGTTGATAAAAAATTCACTAGTATTCTGTACAAAGAGCCTTGAAAATAGCAAAATTAAAGAGCAACAAGTTTAAACAGAACACATCCAAGCACTTCAGCTTAATGTTAATTGATTTATGGTTTAAGCAGCAAACCTCGATATTGGACATCATTTATAACCAATGTTGGCAAGATGGTGACATCACCACGAGGTCCTCGCCCAATCTGAATATCACTCATAACAAAGCAAAAGGTAGAGAAGTCTTATACTGCTTAGTTAATACTTAATAATTGTATGGATCCAAGCTGATATAGAAGTGAATATGCTTATGTGACCTGGAGTTGTTGCTCTATCTTTAGCACTTCATTATCCACATCAGCCTCAGGATCGCCCATACATTTCTGAATTTTCTCGACTGGTAGATCTGTGGTAATAATAGCATTAAACTTAGTAAAATAGAAAACTGAAGAATCTTGATCACAGCTGTACAACAACAAAGTGCTAAGGAAAAATATCTGCAATAGGATGAATTAACGTGAGGAAATTCTACTAATGGGCACAGAAAGGGAGATGCCAACCTCAGCCATTCGACCTACAACCTTAGAATTATTTTCTCAAAAAAAAAAAAAAAGTACACGAACACTTGGACAGAAATCCTAGTCTCAATGAAATAATAAGAAAACAAATCCAAATCCTATTGAGATGTAACTGGAATAATTATATTTCCATTATGACTCCAATAATCATCTCAATAGATCACAAATCTCAAAAGAAAACAATATGTACAAGAATAAAATGAACTAGGATTCTGTCCGTTGATCCATGCATCTTGATAGTTAATAAAATCTTTAAATCATTTCATTGGTCTTTATAACGCTAATTAACTTTCAGGTTGGTTCCTATGTTAAAATTTCTTATTAGGTACCAACATTTTTGTATCACTACCCCTCATTAAACCTCCATTAGTAGTTCATTCAATTCCACGACCAGTGAGATGTCATATTAACACTTAAGATACACTTTGTTCATGTCAATTTACCCCAAGCTACACATTAATTGAGTATATATCTCCCTGTATCATTTACTTATAGACCTTTAGTTGGTATGAGTAATGCATATTCACAGTCCTAAAACGATGTTACACCAGCATATATAATTCAAGGGACGTGATAGAATTTAATAACAAGGACCAAAATTAATACACACGCATGTATATAACATTAGGTATTTAACATTGGACTTAAATTCTCTGAAGTTGAGATTCATAAATTTCTGTGAAGTTTTTTTAAGTATTTCTGCTCATTTTATTTATTTTTATAAAACAAAAAATCTTCTCTCTCTTATTTAGAAAGACAAATTTTATGAAATTTGCGGATTCCCACCTTCAATGGATCCACTCCCCATAGCACTTATAATCTTTGAAACTATATAGGGTAACAGGGTCTAATAAGTTCAAGATTACATGTCCCAAAACAAACTAGCACTTACCTAATGATTTCATGACGTCCTCAGCACACTGTTTACTGTATCTCTTCTCTTTCATAGAACATCTGATATGAAAATCTGCCACGAAGTCCCACCATACCCAGGACCGATTGCTCTCATTGGCAACCCTATGAACACAGAGTTGCCTCAAATTCTCATACACCACATCTTTTCCTTGATAACCCTCTCCAAAATCCTTTTCTGGATCGGGCGCGCAATACCTGCCATGGTTTATGCACTGCGACTTGCACTGACTGCTCTGAACAAAAGCCGACGGACAATACCAAGTTATATAGTGAGGAGAGAACAATGTGTAGCCTCCCCTCTCAAGAATCTGCGCATGACCCTTGAAATTCTTGACGAAATTCATCTGTTCATCACATCGGGCCCCACACTCGTCGTTGCTGTTCGTCCAGAATTCATACTCCACTCTGTTATCCGGGTGAGGCACTGATTCTCTCCAATCGAGCCTTACAAGAACGTCGTCCTCATTTTTGAGAGCTTCCTTCAAAGAATCGCCGAAGGATTTCTCGATAAGAGCGGAGGGAATGCTGATTTTCTCTATGTAGCCATCGGCATCGGAACTCTCCTCGGGGGAATCCATGGTGATCAGAGGCTCGTCGATGCTGTCTGCGACTAGAACTGCGGCGGCTCCGGCGAGTTGAGCGTGCCATACCTTCAACGCAAAAAAACACTCTGCAAGAACAAATGATTTGGATTTGTGTTAGAATAAGCAGGTCGTTGCATCGAGATCATCAAGGTTTAATTTGGAAATTTGTATCAATTTGGATCATTTCCTCCACCACTCTCTTGTGCATCAATCCATTCAACAACCGAAAGAGAATTACAAACGCAGGGGGAATTTATATGTTTGCATGAAATACATGTTATCCATATAATTTTAATTTTAAATAGTGATTATTTTAGAGTCACATGAAACTGGCTTCATTCGAAGGATCTAATAATTAGCCAAAAGGGTAGGTCGATTAAAATGTATAAAAAAATATTTATAGTTTAGTTAGTACAAAGAAATGACCAGAAACATAAAAGTAAAAATATTTCTGTTTAAAAATTTGAAAAAAATATCAAACAAAAAAAGAATGGAGATTTGGAGTGCCGGGACGAAAATTATGCATGTTCCCTAACTATTCCTGTCTTTAAATTAATTTGAAAAACAATCATTTCAACACTTTCATTCTTACAAATAGTGTTGATAATTCAAATACAGCTTAATGAACTAACTCAAACTTGTCTATCTAAGGTCGAGCTTAAAAAATATATATATTCTTTACATTCGAGCCTATTCAAATCAAATTCAATTGAGTTATGGCTTAATCCGAATGCTCGAATAAAAAATTTATATTTTTAAAAAATATATAAAACATAATGAGTATAAATTTTAGATTATTTTATACTAAAATATCATATATTTGAGTCCTATATATCATTTAAGTATTCAAAAAATATATTTTATATCTTTTATAAAATAAAATAACTAATTCCAAAGTAAAAAATTTAATTAAAAATATTTTTAAAAATAAAATTTGAATATTCGAGCCACTCGAAGTTAGAAAAATTTTATGTTGGGCTTGGCTATTCAAGCTTTCTAAGAAGTCAAGCTTATTTAGGTTCGAGTCGAGCTTAAGTTTGTCCAAATTCCCACCGTTACTTACAAGTGCCTATACATACATAACTTTTTAGGCTTAAATTTTCTAAAGTTAAAAGGAAAAATAACAATAAATTTCTCAAATTATATAAATGACAATCTGATTTCTCAAAATATCATACTTCTGCTAAAATTTTAAGGGATTTCGATATTAATAAATTTTAAAGTGAAAAACCATTTTGCCTTTGTTAAAAATAACAAGTTCACCAATCACAACTTTTGCTTCAAGAATAACAACTTTTATTTTGTAAATCATAAGAGTTAAATAAAAAATTATAACTTATTAAGTGTAATGTTTATTATTAAAAAAAAGTTTTTAAAATGACAAACCCTTATCACAATTTTTGTTTAAGGAATAATAATTTTTATTTAAAGAATTACAAGAATTAAATAAAAAATTATAACTTATCAATAAAAGTAAAATAATTTTTTTAATTTAAAATTTATTAACATAAAAATTTATAGAAACTTGAATGGAATTGTGACATTTCAAGGAATCATATTATCATTTATATAATTTAAAAAGATTTTATTGTCATTTTTTCAAGTTAAAATTCATGAATTTTTGTAAAGGTTTTTTTATTTTTTTCATTTTATTATATTTTATAAAGTATAAAATATTTTCTCTCTTTTTAAAAAAATTATTAAATTTATTGATTCTTAATTTTAAAGGATATATTCCTTAATAATTTTTTTTAATGGGTATAGTTGTGTTTTCAACTTCTCATGATGAAAACAATCCATTTTATTTGAAGGTAACATTTTTTTTTAGTAAGAATTCAAAATGTTATGCTGCCTCCCTCCGTTCTAAATTATGAGTATCTTTTAACAATTAATAGGTCCACCAATAAAATTATTATTCTCACCAAAATATATATGATTTTCTCCTTTTATTCTTAATTTAAATTTATAATGAGTGAGATGAAGGTCATAAATTCACAAACCTTAATAAATATGAAAGAAAAAATGAATTTTTTTTTTTACAAATACGAAGTTACTTTTTTGTATTAAAATTAATTAAAAAATATTTACTCATTTCGTTAAAAATGTAGGGTATTTTTTGAGATGTTAAATATTAAAAAATGTAATATATTTTTAGTATTTTAAAATATAATCATTGTATTTTTTTTAAAAGTGTCCCTGTAAATAAATTAATTTATATTTATTTTAGAGTAAAACATTCTATTAAATAAAGATAACTATAAAAAATGCTGTTAATTTAAAAACAAAATATTTTATTAAATATGACTAACTATAAAAATAGTATTAATTTAAAAATAAATAACTACTTTAATAAAAGAGGGATTTGATTAAAAATGTTTTTCTTTTCTTAGAATGAAGGAATTAAGGGTTGTTTGGTATGCTTGAATTGAGGGGGATGGAAATGGGATTGACGGTGGAAATAAAATTTTGGCTTGTTTGGTATAATATAAATTATTATTTTTTTGAGTAAAGATATAAATTAATTCTATATGAAAGCCATTTCCACAAAAAAGATGGAATTGATTTCCATCATAATATTTCAATTTTAGATTTCCATCAACATGGCAACCTGTTTCACGCTTCAGACTTTCAGTCAACAAATCAAGTAAATAAAAAAAAAAAAATAGTTCAGCTGTCGTCAGTCGGTAACAAAATAAAATAAACCCACACATCTTAAATTTCAGCCCAACCAAAAAAGCGACTTCAGGAATTAAGTTTTGACTTTTTAGCATCCATCAAAAACCAAAACAAAGCCACGAAAAGAAGACAAGGTCAGAAAAAGAGCCACAGAGAACCAGATAACCCACCATATTAGAACCCACTCTGTTTTCTCAAGAAGTAGTGTTCTTTATGCTCGATGCTCTGCAATTGGGATTCCAGTGATCCTAACACTAGTTTAGTTTCATTCATCAGCGGATTCGCACAGAAAGGAAGCTTCATATCCAATCAGACCACAAGAGAATCATTCTCACACACACACACACACACACACAGAGTTTGAAGCAGAGTTTGAAAACAAAAAAACAGAGCATCGAAAACAGATGAGAAAACAGACAAGTATATTTATTGTTTACCTCCACGATCAAGAAGGAGAATAGTGGGGCGAAAGGTCTGAGATTTGTAGGGCTTGTGACCAGGGAAGGGTTGGCAGGCATAGGAGTGTTGAAGATCAGGGGAGATAAGAGAGCCAACGATGAAACCTCCATAGTCAGGAACTCCGAAGTTGCCAATGGCTCCGTCATGCTTGGACCTCAGCTTGTGAGGTGAGAGAACACTGATACTGTTCTTCTCCACCACAAATCGAGCATCAACAGTACAAGCCCATAATAATAACAACAACACAGACATGATTTGAAGAATACCACTCATGTTGTTTGATTTAGCTGCGTGATTGTGAATGGTTTGAGAGAAAGCAGAACAAGGAGGAACCAGAGGAGGAGTGGAAAGTAAAGGCTTGAGAGAGAGAGAGAGAGAGGGTTTGGTGGGTTGTAGAAGGTGAGGAGGTTTGAATTTCTTTATCAAGGCTGTGACGTAAAGGGAAGCTTAACGACATGCCAAGGCAAGGCAAACGGGAAGGTGATCACTTTCACTACACAAGTTCATGACTCTGCCTTGGTGGGTAGTTGTCCCTCCATTTTATTTTTTCACTTTTCATTTTTATTTTTTGGTTGGGAGAGGAAAAATTTTGGCACCGTTTAGTTGAATCATTTTATTTATTTTATTTTAATTAAGTTCTTATAATTTAATTAATTAAATATGTTAATCCTTGATTGTTAGTACTTTTTTAATTTTTATTTTTTAAAAAATAAAATTAATAAATGATTATTAAAACATTATATAATTTTAGAAGCAACTATATAATTTTTGTAATTCAAAGTTTATATAGTTGGGTTATGTTTTCTAAATAACTTTCATACATATAGAATTTTCATAAAAAGTTAATAAAAATATAAATATTATATTAAATAAGATCTTTTTTTGCTAAAAGTATTGTACGAAATTTTCTATAAATTTTAAATTTTTTTATTTTAAAAATTCAATCAATCATTAATAATTTTAAACTTTAAGGATTAACATATTTAATTAATTAAAATATAAGAGCTTGATTAAAACAAAATAAATTACATACACCTAATTTAAAATTAAGGAACGGTAAAAAGATCTGCAGAGTAATCTTCCCATAAATTATTACTAGTGGTTTAAAAATAAATTTTTCCATCCTTTATTTAACACTCCTCCATAACAATTTATAAGATATTTTTTTGATGAAGTTGCATATATTAATAAAGTTCATTAAATATAATTTATAGTCTTAATTTTTTATAAATTTTTAAAAATACCCTTCATTAATAAAATAGTAGAAAAAATTTCTTTAATGACTAAAATAATGAGGATAATATTAGAATAATCATCATTAATAAAAAATATTTTATATTTCTAAACACCAAATCATTTAAAAATATACCTTATAAAATGAGACGGAAGAAATATCATTTATTTTGAAAGTCTTGTGTCTATTTTTCATCAATGAAATAGGATCTTTGAGGGGGGAAAATAACTATGTGTTGCTATTTTTTAGCCATAAAATTTAATTACTAAACTTAATTTGAATTATCTAAATTTTATTTTTTCTTATTTTTAATAAATAGTATTATATAATAAATTTAAATCATTCAAATCAAATTTCAACCCTAATCTAAATCATCAATAATCAATCAATCATTATATAAATTTTGGAGAAAGCCCATAACTTACAAATATTAATAAGATATGAGAGATGTAACTTGTCTTAAACAAGTTGCTTTTTGTATTAGTTTTTAGAATGTTTATTTTATTAATAATTGTAATATGTTACATCATTTTTCTCATAACTGTGGGATTACACAAATCAACTTTTAATAAACAATTACACAACAAATAAATAAGCCGTTTAGGACACACATGCGCAATACAGAGATCAACATGCTACTAAATATCAACAGCAGCCCGGAGCATGAAACAATTGCAATTTAAGATGAAAAACCTCATCAATCACATAGGATGTAAAATATAATCTGAAATAGAATAAGTTATTGTTTATTTTTAAAAATGTGCCAAGACAAGGAATACTAACACCAACAAGTTTTTAAAATTTTAATTTTTGTGGAGATCACACACCACAAAATAACAAATTATTTTTTATGGTTTAAATTATTTACACAAGGTAATAAATTTAAAAATAATTGTATACAAGAAAATATGGGATGTTAGTTTATATTTTTAGTATGCACATATAGCAAATTTTAAATTAAAACAAGTTGTTTCTTGAAACGAAACATAACACACGATTATTTACTATTTTTATTTACATGGATATGAATAATTTATAAACTAAAATGAGTGGTAATTTGTATTTGAATTTAAATGGAAGAAAATTTTAAAAATAAAATATGGGATGTTAGTTTTATATTTTTACATGCACATAAAGCAAATTTTAAATTAACGCAAGTTGTCTCGGACAAAATAATAATAATAATAACACACGATAGTTTACTATTTTTTATTTACATGAATGTGAATAATTTATACTAAAATAAATTGTAATTTATATTTGAATTTAAATTAAAAAAATTTTAAAAATAAAATATGGTATTTATATTTTAATATAGATATGTTGTTATTTATTTTTATTTCTAATGTCATTAAAATATTTCTCTTATTTTTTTCTTTTCCATGGCCTTCAAATCGAATTAAATGTCTAAAATCTAGTTCTAGTTTATTACTAAAACATCAGCAGCAGCCAGGATCGGAGCATGAAACAATTGCAAATTAAGATGAAAAACCTCATTAAATTCCCATGTGTTGATGTTATTGTTGACATAAAATATATAAAATAGTTGATAGTTGACGTTTGTATGAAGTCAGTCAATATTGGAAAAATTGCACCTTGTAACATACGCTTGACTCCTTCAACTTCAACCAACGCCTACATGATATTAATATATCTCATTAGTAGTAGTCAATTTATATCTCTATCTCATTTTTATCCTTATTATTATTATTAACATTATCCCCTAATATTTTATATGGCTCTTATTTCATTTACCAATTCACATCTCACTATCTCTCGCCCACATTAGATTTTATACAAGTTACACGTATTTTTATAAACTACTATTCAAATTATATATTATTTAGGTTAAAATATGAAACGTCGCTCAAATAAGTTACAGGACTAATAGGGCTAAGTAACTTAAGAGTCAGGCCCAATATAAACAAAGGGGTTGGTCCCAAAGCTCAATAAAAGCCATGATAAAATAAACATGCTGAAATCTCGCCAGTTACAAACATTGGATCCTTGGCACAAGAAGACACGACTCAAGTAATTCCGAAATCTATGGACATCATGCCTAGTTATCTCGATAAGATGGAGTGATTACCAAAAATAGAGAACACAGTATAAAGACTATGCCATGAGTTTCGCGAGATCCCTGATTCCTCGACAAAACGTACTAGGTCTTAAGGGAGAGGCTACCACCACTCTGACACTATAAATAAAAGATGAAGGCACAGAAGAAAGACAGTCAACACTCAATCAAAGACTCGCATTTTTTACACCTTTAGCCTTTAGTTTTATCAGTTAGTTTTACTTTCAATTTAGACTTGTAACATTTCACATTTTAATAAAAAATCAAACACTTGTTCTACCAAACCCTTGTATATCTTTTACATCCGAGTGAATTATGGTAAGGGAGCTTAGAACCCTTTTGTTATCAATTGAGACTCAGCGTCTTTGGCACGCCTAGTATTTGTTGTTCACCACGAACACATATATTTTATTTTTAAAAAATAAATATTTTTATTAAAATTAATTTTTTTAAATTTATGCACTTTTCAATTAAAGGCATGAACTTTCCTTAAGTTTTTAAATAACATGCAAACCCCTTATCATTTTTTAAAAAATATAAAAAAACTTTTAATGAAATTTTTGAATCATATTGACATTTTTTTTAAATTTTTTTAACACAACCAAACGTTAACAACCATCAATATAACAAACAAAACAAAACCACCAAGCTAACCTCATTTTGAACAGCTCATGAAGGCTTCGCACTCAAAACACTTTGTTGTAAATAGTGTTGGCTGCTCAGCCAAAGTTGGCTCATGCATTAGGCTTTGTGCTGCCAACAAAGTACGTGCCAAGCCATGAGATAGGATATAAAATTTAAATTGCATGTGATCCTTCATAAGTCTATATTTAGGAGATTGTGACGTTACATGGGGTGTCAAAAGGGGATTGTATCAGACTGCGATTTGAGGTTTGCATCAAACTTCTGAAAAGTATTGCACTAGGCTATGGGTATTAAGTTAAAGTTGAATACAGCGTATACCCCCTAGATCGATAGATAAACAGAGATAACCATTCAAACTCTTGAAGATATGCTATAAGCTGCATAATTAAGTTAAGTGAGACTTGGGATAAGAACTTGCCTTTAGTAGAATTTGCCTATAATAATAATTTTCATTTGAGCATCTGAATGGCTTCGTACAGAACGTGTAGATTGCCTCTCTACTAGACTGAATTGAGTGAGAGAAGCATTATAGGTTTAAATTTGGTGGATCAAACTACTGAGAAGATTGAGATGATCTAACAAAAACTATTAATTGCCTATAGTAGGCAAAAAAATTATGCGAATAAGAGGAAGAGACCATTAGAATTCATGATGGGTAACCATGTGTTTTTGAAGGTCACGCCCATGATTGGAATGAAGAGGTCTATTCATGCAAAGAAACTGACTCCTACGTATATTAGGCCATTTGAGATTCTAGAGAGGATTGGGACATTGATGTATTGGGTTGCCTTGCCTCCTCACTTATTAGGACTATATGATGTTTTTCATGTCTCATAATTAAAGAAGTACTAACCCAACCCATCATATATAATTGAGCTAAAGGAAGTGAAACTACTTGAGAATCTGACCTATCAGATTAAGCCAGAGTGAATTATTGATGTAAAGGAGAAATAGCTAAGAAACAAGACAATTCATCTTGTGAAGGTTATATGAAAGGGTATGACACTCGATGATGCCACATGAGAAACTAAGGAGAATATGAAGCAACAACACCCTCGTTTGTACTAATAAGTTATGTTTTAGTTGATTATTTTAATTTTAGGTAAAAAGTTCTAGAAAGGAAAGAGAGTTGTAACATCTTGAAAATTAACCTCCTATTAATTAGGCTAATCAAGGATAATTAAGTAAAATTAGTGTTGTGTAAGTGTCCAATTTTTGATAGAAATATCTGATTGAGATGAAACTAATGTCATTAGTTAGATGTTAAAACAACCTTCGTGTGAGCGTTTAAACCATCTCAATCGAACTTCGTATGTGAAAATGGTGCGCATCTGAATTTCATATTAAAAACTGCAATTTAATAGCAAATTCAGGTGCGTGTGCCGTAGCACATATACTCATATGCTGCAGCCATGGTGTATGGCACAAAGCCGC